ACGCTATCGCCGTGCCGTGGCTAAGCATATAAGTAAGTGGAGGATGAGAAAGTAAATCGGACTTTCTTAGAAATGGCGAATGAACAGGGATTAGCTCAGCATGGAAATTGTGGCCCTCGGCCTTGAATTATAGTCTCGAGATGTATCGACAACGGAGGCGCAGATGCAAGCCTCTTGGAAAGGAGTATCAACGAGAGTGAGAGCCTCGCGTGCTATCTTGTTGACTCTTGCGTAGCGTCGCTGCCCGGCGCGAATCGACACGATGCTATGCCATCGATCATCAGACGCTAGCGCACGCTATTGCACTCTAAGGGCAGAACTACCAAAATATACAAGGCGACTTGCTGCACCGAGAGTCAAGGCCCCGTGAACCGCCGGTCCTCCTCTTCCTCCTCTTCCTCCTCCTCCTCCTCCTCTTACTCCGTCATCCCCCTCCGTCCGCCATCCTCCTCCTCCTCCTTCGAAAGAGGACGGACAGGCAAGACTGTTTTGGACTGTCGTGTTTACCCAGCGGCTCGTTCAAACCACGTACTGAGGGTGAAGCGCAGCTGCCCCGTCTGCGGCACCGAGGCACCTCCTCCTCCCCCACCCTTCTCCTCCCACTACCTCCTCCCTCCTCGTCCTCCTTCTCTCCTTCCCCTGGTCCACTTCCTCGTCCTCCTCCTCTTCTCCTCTTCCCCCATCTCCTCCTCCTCCTCCTCCTTCTCCTCCTCCTCTCCCCTCTCCTCCTCTCCTCTTCGTCGTCCCCTCGTCGTCTCTCCGCCCGCCCATCGATGCCGATGCTGGCGAGGCCCAGGATCGACGGAAGCGCCCGCTTGTTTGCGCGAGCCTGGAAAGCGTGACCGCCCATCCTGGGCCAACGACCACGTATCCCACGAATCGATACTCCTGGGAACCCCATCGCGTCGTGAGCAAATTCTAATGATGTGGAATGATCAGTTGTAGTAAATGTTATGAGAAACTCTTGTGCCTGGCCTGAGGAATCACAAATGAATGCTTAGGACGGAAAGCTGTTAACACGGTCGGAGGCCTAGGCAGGTGGATAATTGGCGTCCTCTCCTCCTCCACATCCTCTCGTGGCCAGCGAACGGGCGTTCTAACGAATCAGCTGCATGCAGCTGCTTTTCCTTGCGCCTCGACCATAAATGGGAGAAGGCAACTTGACGCAGGGGCTAGGTCAAACCGCGCGTCCAGAGATTCGATATCTTGAGTTGTTCACTACGGGGTGCCCAGAAGTCCCGACCCTCTTCCCGGGACGAGCGATTCACCCTGAATGCTGTTTTTGGGGGTCCGAAGGCCCGGGAAGGGCCCCCGGAGCCCAATAACGGCAAAGACCATCGATTTGCTTATTTTCAACGGTTGGACTTCTGGGTACAACAGCTTCCCTAACCCCTCTTTCCCAAAATCCTCCTCGAGCCCGTTGGGGCGTCCTCGGAGCTGGCCCCCGCCACGTCCCCGCTGGCCGCCGGCGTGGAAGTCCGGGGCCTCGGCTCTGGGAGGGAACGCACACAGGAGGGCGGTTTACGCCAGGCTCTGGGCCAATTTACTTGCATGGCAGTCCCACCCTCCCCGGCCGCCACTTCAAACAGCGCTGGGCTGCGAAGGCGTGCAAGCGAAGTCCAGACACCTGCTGGGAGGTCCTGGCTGCCTCTTGGGAGGTCCTGCCTGCCCTCTGGGATGTGCCGTCTGCTGTGTTTGTGAGGTTATGTTTGCTTGCTGGGACGGTCCCACTTACCTTTTGGGAGGTCCTCCTCCTCGAGGCCCCGAGCTCCCCCTTGGGGCCTCGCCGTGCAAACGGCCTCCCCACTACGTTTAAGTCGGGCGTGTCCCCCTACAGGGCGATTTTCGACGAGAAATAAAAAAAACCCAAACAATGTTCCAAAGCAGAAGATACTCAAAAAATAGTCCCAAAACTATTTCTTACTATTTACGAATTTTCCTCCTGTAGAGTGACAGGCCCGACTTAAAGCCTACCTTTCGGGAGGTCCTCATCCTCGAGGCCCCGAGCTCCCCCCCTGGCACCGTGTTTCGGGCACGAGCTGCCTGCCGCAGGCACAGGCCAGGGCGCAGGGGCGGGGGAGACGGGCCGCAACGAGTGGGGGCGGGGGGGGCGCGGGAAGATCGACGGCGTGCGAGGGGGGAGTACCCCCCCCCCGTTTTTTTTTTGTTGTTTGTTTTTTTTGTTTTTTTGTGTTTTTTGTTATATATATATATATATATATATATATATATATATATTATACCCCCCCAACAAAAAATGAGCCCTGGCCCTTTGGGAGGGGACCGAAGTCAGGAGGGCAACATAAACACACATCAGGGGCAGCGACGTCGAGCAGGGGCGAGCACCCCTCGGCCCGAAGAAGCAGGCAGAAGCAGGAAGCAGGAAGGCGTCGGGAACAGATTGGGTTTCCGCCCGCCTCCTGAAGAGGAGGGAAGAGGGGGAACCACTCGACTCCTGAAGCAGGAAGGCGCCGAAAGTAGATTGGAATCTGGGAGCCCTAGTCCTTACTGGGGGGGGGGGGCGAAGTCATGAGGGCAAACCAACAAAAAACATTAGGGATATAGAGGAAGTCTTTTTCTGCAGATGTATCGAACCAAGTCGTCCAGATCCCCTCGTGCACAGACGGGGGTCTCGGTGAGGCCGCGTCTCCATCGTGCCGTCAGGGTTAAGGGGCTCTTCTGTCCTCGATGAGGGGGGAATTCAAGGAGGAGACGGACTTTGCCCCTTGGACCGCAGCTGGAGCGCACTCCAGGCGAGGCGTGAGCCGACGAGCCGCGCGCCGCGCGGCCCGCGGACCCCGCGGACCCTGCCGCCAGCGCTGTGGCGAGAGGCCTCCCCCGTGGGGCGCGGCCCGCCGCGCAGGGCGCGCCGCGGCCTGCGGAGTCTCCCCCCAGGCTGGACCTAAGCGGTGTTTTTCGTGTTCGCGCTGTTCTCGTTTTCCCTCGCTCTTGTCTCGAATCCGCCTTTACCGCAACTAACAGGGGATATGTCGACCCCTATCCCAGGCTTCGTGGGGTTTCCGAATGGACCAGAAATTTGGGGCCTAACCCTGGGATATACGATGGGGGGGTGTCCATTCTCGATAGGGTGCGTCCGAATAGCCCCCTTGGGGTGTATCCCAGGGTTTTCCCATTCTTCTGAGCGGCCAGACTTTTCGGGCGAAACTCGGGGATTGGGGGAGAAACATCGCCCGCGAGCAACTGCCTTTCCCGCAAGACGAGGTCGAAACGAAAACGGCCCACGAAGTCACCAAGAGCACCGTTTAGGTCCAGCCCTGCGTTCCCGCAGGGGCCGTCGGTGGAGCTCCCTCTTGGGCACGGCGTGCGCCAGTCGGCCCACACTTCGGCGGCGAGCGAGGGGGGGAGGTGAGAAGGAGAGGGCCTTCTCAGAAGGCGGCGGGGCTTCTCAGAAACCCTCGCGCCCTCTGAGAGATTTTGCGTGCGCCTCCCGGGAAGGCTCCGAAAGCTCTCAGAAGGCCAGGGGGACTTCCGAGCCGTCTGAGAAGGCCCGCCCCTTCTCACTTCCCCCCCCCCAGCTCGCCGCCGAGAAGAAGGACGGCGTGGAGGAGATTGCGTGGAAGTCGGCGGAACTCGTTATACCCAGACCCTCCACGCCGTGATTTGTTCCTGTCGTCGAACCCCAGGGGTCCGGACCCCTTCCCGAGGACCGGACTCTAAACCGCAGTGGACGTTGGACGACCGCGAGGCCCGGCCAGGGCCCCGAGAGGCCGCCAACGGCGAAGCACTCCCCGTCGTGTCTTGTGGACCTCGCGAAGGGGATCTGGGGGAGGAGAATGCGCGGAAATCACAAAGAACTCGTTCACGGGGGGGGGGGAGGGGGGGCAAAAAGCGTAGGGTGAAGAGGCGTGTGCTGTTGGGGTCCGCGGTGGCAATTTTTGGGGCCGTGGAGGGGCCCGTCAGGGCCACGCTCCCGCACTGCTCGATCATCTCCCGAGAGGTTTGCGGTCGGACCCGGGAATATGAGATCTCGGCAACTCTCGGGGAGGGTACCCTGACGTTCTTCGTGCTTGCTGGATGTTCTAGTGCATCCTCGGGGGGGGTGCCCTCGAATGCAGTGTGTGTGTTGGCCGGCGGAGGGTCTCATGGTCTTACATGATGTTGCTCTACCCTACTTGGATCGCCGCGGTGGTGGCCAACGGGATGGGGGGGGGTCAGAAGTGGATGCTAAAGTGGGTGTTAGCTGGAATAACCCAACTTCGAACGGTGTTATACAAGTGCCTTTTGTGGCGTAGGATGATGAGGCAACTCCGCTAAGCGGTCTCCGCCCACTTTGCCCAGAGCTGCACGTCTTTAGGCCACTTGGGGCACGTGCAACCTACGTCTGAGCTGGGTTAGGCTGGACCGAACCCACCTCAATATCAACTTGTATCCCCCTATCCGCTCAGCAACCCCCTCCTCCTCCTCCTCCTCCTCCTCCTCCTCCTCCTCCTCCTGACGATCCAAGTAGGTCTGGCCGTATTGTCCCCTCGTTGCCGCCCGCCCGCATTGGAGGCCAGGCAGAGCCTCTCACGGGCAGGCTGCTGGCACCAGGAACAGAGTACTCCCCCGCGCCACGAACACGGAGAAGCGACACCAACAGCACCAGGGACCACCAGCGAGTGAAGCCAGGAACGGGTCCCCCTGGTGGTGTGCCCCCCCAACCCTCTCGCTCGAGACATCCCCTATCCCCAGCTCGGGGAGGCATCGTGGACCTCCTCGCCGTAGATGGCCCCCTGGTGGTGTCGGTGTCGCGCTCCCTTCCCCCCAAGAGCGGCGCTCGCACCGCCCGACTGTCTCCCAAGGCGAGGGGTGCCCTCGGGTCGCGTCCGGGCGAGGAGTGTTGAGGAGGGCGGAGACGTGTGTAAGACTAGGCGCAGGGCGACTGGGAGGTTAGAAGGACCCAGAGAAGGAGGGGCGAGTAGGTGGGGGGGAGGAGGGAGAAGACAGGACGAGGAGTTGCAGGAAAACGATGAGGGGCATGATCCACCGAATGGCCGAACAACCTCACACAGAACACCTCTGCCACGCTCAGTTGGGTGCCGCCAAGGAGGGGCCGAGTTCGACAGAGACAGAAAGACAGACAGACAGACAGGCAGACAGACAGAGAGCGCGAGAGAGGGCGAGAATAAGAAACATATAGAAAGAGAGAGAGAGAGAGAGAAACAAAAAGCGAGTGTGATAGTGGGAGGGTGTGGGCAGATTGGCTGGCGAGCAGGAAGTGTCGGGAAGGCGGGGGATGGGGAGGGGGAATGTGGTGATAGGAAAACGAGAGAGGGGAGGTGAAAACGGTGGAGGGAACAGAGGAGGGGTCGCATGATATGTGATGGAGAAGAAGGGTGAAAAAAGGGCCGAAGAGAAATTAGAAAGCAACTCGCGGAAACTATTTGACCGCCCCCATCGCGTCCAATAGCACGCTCAATGTCGCGTCCAAGAACGCGCGGAAGTAATACATCTTCCTCACATGGCGCCATCGGGCGCTAGTGAACGCCATTTAGGACGCAGAGACCCTGAGATCAGACGCTTCGAAACAAACATCGGCATCTTACCAACCTGCAACATATCCCTATCCCTATGCTGGGCACCTCCTCATCACGATGCCAATCTTAGGGATTCCCGTATTTTTTGAGGGCGAATCCCTAAGATTGTCATCGCCTTTTGGCGTGTCAATCTTAGGGATAGGGATACGTTCGAGGCTGGTAAGCATCGCGAGCAATCCAGACCAGAGACCCAGGCCCCATCTCTCTGCGGAACTGCTCGAGCCAGATCGACCCGTGCTGGAAAACTGCGACGCTCGGAGCCCGCGGACTTTCTCGAGACGCTTTTTGCTTTGTTTGTTTACTGTGTGGCGGCATCCTTGTTTCCCTGCATACGTGGTGCTGCAAGTTGGAAGATTTATCAGTGGCAATCTAAGCGGTCGCAGCCCAGACCGGGCAGCTCGACCAACAATCTGGCACCAAGATTCTAGGGGAGGAAGGCAAAAACGACCGAGGCCCGTCTTAGGGGAACAAGCCATGACGTAAGCACAAAAGCTCGGAGGCCCGCGCGCATTCCTGAAGGGGCCCCAGGACACACAAATAAATACACACAAATAAAAATAGTCCCCATATTTCCCTATGTTTTTCTGGGTTTCTGTCTGCCCCCCCACTTCCCATTCTTTCCCATATTTCCTGGGGAATCGAAGATTAATTGTGTCTGTGTGTTTCTTTTCCTCCTGAATTCCTCGGATAGGCGCCGGCCCCCCCCCTGGCGGGGCCTTCGGCGCCGATCTGGTACATCCGCGCGGCCCTCAGAAATTGTCTGTTTATGCCACTATTTGTTCCCCTATCGGTGGCGGTCCAGCCTCCCTTTGGCAGACCTCCCCTTGGTGGAAGCGGCCTGGGACCGAAACCGACGGACCTGGACCCGCAAAAATGACGGCCGCGACGCCCTCTCGCGAACCGAAAACGGCCAACTCCTTAATCGACGTGTCAGGGTAGGAGGTCTGTCCACCCCCGACAATACGTTTGGACGCCCGAAGCGGGTAAGGAAAGCAAGCGTTGTCCAAGACCGAAAGCGGCCGCCGTTGGGCGGGGGGCCTTTCCGGAGCTCCTGTCCGACATGGACCACGCCCGCGGCGACGCCGCCAGCAAACCCTGCTCAGAATGGACATGCGCGGCACCCCCCTCGGAGCCGCGAACCTTTTTGATTCAAGAGAGCTCCAGTACAGCGCCCTCCCAACACCCCAGAAGTATGTTCATAACTCTGGCAGGACAAGAAACGCTGCCGGCCTTCGTGCCCACTCTTTCCAGAAGGCTGGGCGCCAGAGGTCCCCGCCATCCGGAAGCCTCGGGATGCTTCGGCATCCCGAGGCCCCTGCCAAAAGGCCAAGGCAGGGGCCAACGAGGCGTCCGAAAAGCTCCCCCCTCAACCCAATCTCGGGGGCTGCTGAAGGTGCCCCTCCCCAGCTGTTCGCTTAATGATGGAGCCCCTGGGGAACCCTCTGGGCCTAGTGAGGGGTGCTCTGGAGGCCGCGGGCCTCACCTGGGGCCAGGGGCACTTCTAGCAGCACCCTTTCCGCACCCATCTTCCGATCGTGCCGGACCGAGGAGGAGCAGGAGGAGGACGAGGAGGAGGAGGAGGAGGAGGAGGAGGGGGAGGAGGAGGAGGAGGAGGGGGAGGAGGAGGAGGAGGAGGGGGAGGAGGAGGAGGAGGAGGAGGCGGAGGAGGAGGAGGAGGCGGAGGAGGAGGAGGAGGGGAAGGAGGAGAAGGAAAAGGGAGGCATCTGGGGAGGACGGAGGGCCTGGCGCTGGGACGCCTCGCCGACACCTCGGTGGCCGGGCGCTGGGCGGGCCCTTGCGCGGGCGAACGCTGGTGGGCTGGCGCCGCAGGCGGGGAGGCGCCGGCGAGGGCCCGCGCCGTCATGGGCTGGTGGGCGCCGCCTCGGGGGCCCGCGCGGAAGTCCTCCAGATCTCCCCGCGCTGTGGGCGGCGCGCACAAAAAGGCTGCTTCTCAAAGGGCGCCCGCCCTGCATCTGCAGCAGGGCACAGGGAACCTTCCACGAGAGACCCAATCCCGAGACCTCAGGACGTCCATCGGCTCTTGGTGCGGGAACGTCACGCTCTCCATAGCAAAGCCATCGAACCCAAGGAGCCCAGGGCACCCTGGAGGCAGGCAGGGTGCTTCTTGGCATTGGTCCCCACCGTGTCGTGAAGGCCCGCGCCTCCTAAGAAGCATGGCTGCTTCTAAGAAGCCTTCCCCCCCCGCTCTCTACCCCCTTGTGCCCGCGGCTGGGCTGTGATGAGCTTACGGCGGGCGGGCGAACTGCTCCAAGAAGGCGATCTGGGGCGAAGCCCCCTCAAACTCGCATCCAGCACTGCTTCTGCACGTGGGTGTGCCTCTCCTCTCTTCTGGCTGGCTCGCCCACTTCAAGCCGTTCTACGGTACACCCTGCGAAATGCTTAAGAAATCATGGGTTAAGAAATTCATAGTCTCAGAACTTCAATAAAAACCCAAGATTTCTATTAAAATCTTGGGATTTACATTGAAACGTTAAGAATAATCGAGACTCTGGCCGAAAACTTGGGTTTTCTTAAGCATCGCCTAAGGTGTAGGGGCCCGACCACAAGAACCCCTCCACGAGAAACCCCACTCTGAGGCCCCAGGACGTCCGTGGAATTCTGGCGGGGGGGCGCCACGCTCTCCTTCGCAGAGCCACGGGAATCCAAGGGACCCAGGGCACCCTGGAGGCAGGCAGGGCGCTTCTTGGAACTGGTCTCCACTGCAGGACACAGAACTGGCCATCGCTCGGACGTCCACTTCCTGTGTTTGTTCCGGTTTCGTGCGTGGTTTTTCGCCAGATGATCAAGGATGCTCCTCGATGGTCCTCGCCGATGGTCCTCGCCGAGCGAAGCGAACCCCACCCTCCCCCTCAGAAATCGTGGGGGGTAGGGGCAGGGTTCGCATGTGGCCCCCTGGGAGGGTGACCTGCATTGGGGGCGAAGAACCGGGCTCCGCATGGGGCACTTCCGGGCCCCTTTGGGAGCAGGGGTCCAAAGTGGGCCCGAAAAGGCCTCATTTCGGGCCCTTGCTTCACCCCCCCCTTCTGGTCCCCCCCCCTTGCCACCCGTCCGACTCGCTGAGCCTTAAACCCGGGCCCCGGCACCGTCAAGAGCACGACTCGGGACGAAGAGCGGGCCTAGAGGAGGAGGAGGAGGAGGAGGAGGAGGAGGAGGAGGAGGAGGGGGAGGAGGAGGAGGAGGAGGAGGAGGAGGAGGAGGAGGAGGAGGAGGAGGAGGAGGAGGAGGAGGAGGAAGGGAGGAGCGGGCCCAAGGGAAGACGTCGAACAAGCAGGGGGTCCACGCGGCGAAATCCACCCGCGGGTCTCTCGGGGGGGTCTGTGCCGATCCCGGGCTGCGGAGGCTTTCTGCCCCGAATCCGCTCCGCCGTCGAATGTGTTTCACCTCTGCTTGCTCTGCTCCTCTTCCCCCTCCTCCTCCTCCTCCTCCTCCTCCTCCTCCTCCTCCTCCTCCTCCTCCTCCCTCCTCCCCTCCTCCTCCTCCTCCCCCCTCTCTTGCTGTGGGCCTCCTCCTCCCCCCCTTCCTCCTCCTCCTCCTCCTCCTCCCCCTCTCCTGCTCTCGCTGCGCGCGTTGCACGGCACGCGCGCAGCGAGAGAATGTCGCAGCCTTTCTGGCCCAGGTGAGGTCCCAGCAGATATTGAAACGCGTCGTCGTCCGCAAAGTGCTTGAGACCGGAGGTTCACAAGACTCATGGATCGAGGCTCTTGACTTCTTGGTGCTGCTCGAGGCCTCCTGGGTCGTTCTTGTCGCCAACGCCAAGCTGAATCTCCCTGCTCCTCCTTCTCGTGCCATGCTGACCACTCTCGCTGTGTCACCCAATCGCCGCCATGACCCTGTATGTGAACTCATTTTTGCCGTGCGCAGCGCCTGTGTCAGTCCGCCTGCTGGTCCACTGCGGCTCAGACCAAAGCTCGACTCGACCTGACCTCAACCTCCGAACGTCCCGATCTCCGCCAGCGCCGAGTGCCAATCATCGCTTCTGAGCGTCCTGAGCAGCGAAAAATCCAGTGTGCCACAGGTGTCGAAGGCCTCCGCCAACCTGCTTCGGAACCCGTGGGCACTATCGGGAGCGCCGGAGAGAGGGACCCGAGAAGAGAGTGGCTGCCGCATCCTGGCTCGAGGGATGTGTGCGGACGGAGGGGTGGCCAGGCGACGTATGGAGAGAAGAAGAAAAAGAAGAAGACTAAGACGAATATTCAGACAAACACGCAAAATAATAATAAGAATAAGAAGAACACGAAGAGAGAAGAAGAAAAATAAGAAGAAGAAGAAGGAGAAAACTAAGATGAATATTCAGAAACAAAAAACACGCAAAAGGAGAGGGGGCCATGGCACCTGTGAGATGTGCTGGCCTTAGCCATGAAATCCACGCGCCCCCCATGGTGGGGACCGGCTCCGGGGGGGAAGCAGCATGCTGAGAATCGGTGATGCATCGCGGCTAGATTGGCGACGTAGACTCAGGTCGGGCCTGTCCACCTATATGGGGATCTTGAGCGTTATAAATGAACAATCTTAACATATAGAAAAGCTAGCAATATGCAAAATATGCCCAAACATACGCAAACAATAGTCCTCAGACCATTTTTTACTATCTTTTAAGATTCCCCCTGTAGGGGGACAGGCCCGACTGAAATGTAGGCCCACAATAGCGCAACCGCGCCTTCCTGGGGGCGGTGGGCGATGGGGCTCCTGTCGTCGATGGATGGCCTAGTGGGGATCGACGCACGCCCCACTCAGCCTATCCTCCCCCTGACGTTGCCCCTGAGGTGCGAGTGGCTGCATCTTAAGGTACGAGTGGCTGCATCTTCGCAGCGCGCTGCTTGAAGTCGCCACCTGCTCTGGACACGCGTTGCCCAGCTCGTTCCCAGTGCGCGAGCCGCAAGCCTCTGCGCAGCTCCTGCGCAGCGCTGCCTGGGAGCCTGCGAGCGGGACTGCAGCTTCTCACAGGCCCTGGGCCCCCACTTGCGGTCGCTCGGACGTCCATTCCCTGTGCGTTTTTCGGTTTTGTGCGTGTCTAACTTCCTCGATGATCCAGGGTGCTCCTCGATGGTCCTCGCCGGGGAAGAAGTGCACACTTCCGAGCGATGCCGAGCCCGAGCGTGCCAGCGTCATCGGGGCGCTGCTGGGCGCTCTCGGGGTGAGCGCGTGGGCCTCCTGCTGGCCACAGCTGCAGGAAGCTCGCAGGCCGCCGCGCGCACGTGTGGCCTCAGGATGCTACGTACGCGCGGCCAGGTGCCCAGACGCCACAAGCAGGGCCAAGAGAGCGGCGATCAACAACGGGTCTAACGTTAGGTCGGGCCTGTCCCCGCGCAGGGGGACTAGGGGCGAACATCAAGAAATACACAACAAAATAATCCAAACATGCTCAAGAATAGCCAACAAATCGTCCCCAGACTATTGTTTGACTATTTCTGAAGATTCTCCTCCTGTAGAGGGACACGCCCGACTTCAGTCTAACGCGAGTAGGCATGGCGACCTCACGCGGTGGCTTACGCGGGCCGCCGGCGCGGCACGCCACAGTGGAGACGACGGCGCCAACGCGCGACCATGCGAGGCCAGCCCACGCTCCCATGTCGGCGAAGACGACCCCCGTTTCTCTGCGTCGCTCAAGATAGGCGACGAGCCCAGGGGGGAAATGAAGAGGAGAAGGCCTTCTCAGAAGGCCGCGGGACTTCTTAGAAGTCCGGGGGACTTCTGAGAGGTCTCCTAAGCCTATTTCGAATACAGACTGAACTTCTCAGAAGCCCTCTCAGAAGTCCGGAAACTTCTCAGAAGCCTCGGAAGTCCCGCCCCTTCTCATTTCCCCCCCGCGCCCGCCGCCGACAAGAGGCCGCAAGAATCGCCCCAAGGGCCCCTGAGATGGAGGGGCAGCAACGAGGGCAGACAGGGCTCACGGGGGGAGGCATCGTGCTGGAATCGGCGATGCACCGCCGATGGATCCGCGATGTAGACCGCTGGGCGGGGTGGGCCATCGGGCCCCCATCGGCGATGAATGGTCAATTGGGGGTCGCTGCGTGCCCCCCTGAGCCAGATCCGCCGTTAAGGTTGCCCCTGAGGGTACGCGGGGCAAACTGCCCGGGACCCCAAGAGGCCAGACGAATCGCCTCAGACGCCCACGAGACGCTCCCACGAGGCCGTCCAAAGAACCTGGGCACGGTGACGGGAAGGGGAACAGACCACCGAGAAACCTGCTGACAGAAGCCCCCGTCGTCGTCATCATCGTCCTCGTCTTGCTCGTCGTCCCGTCGTTGCCACCGTCGCCACCGTCGCCGCTGGCGTCAACGTCACCGTCATATCGTCGTCGCCGACGCCGTCGTCGTCGTCCGTCTACTCGGAGCAGGGCGAAGAAACAAGACAATTCGAAATCGGTCCCTGGACCCCTCCCTGGGCTCACACACGCACCAAATTGCTGCTGCGTCCAGCCGTGGCGACGAGGGGCCAACGACCGTTGTCTAGAATTAGAAAAAACGACACTAAATATGCACAAAAAAAACATGCACAGGCACTCTTCTTGTCTAGGACAAGAAAAAGAAAAAACGGCATAAACATGAACTGTTGGCGCTCCGCGCGGATTACCTGGATCTGCGCCAGACCCCCCACGGATTTCCTGGATCTGCGCCACACACACCCTCTTTGGTGCGCGGAGCGCGCCAAGGGCGGCGCCGGAGGCGCCGCCGGGGGGGGAAAGGGCCCAACGCGGATCCAAGAAATCCGTGCGAAGCGACAAAAGTTTGTGTCTATGGCGTTTTTTCTTCTCCGATTGTCTCAATTCGCCCTCCGCTGACCCTTGCCGTCGTTCGGGCGTCCATTCCCTGTGAGTGTTTCGGTGTTGTGTGCGTGTCTTCCTTGCTCGATGATCCAGGATGCTCTTCACTGGTCCCCGCCAAGAACAAACAAATGCACACGTCCGAGCGATGCCAAGCGACGACGCCGTGGCCGGAGGCGACAAGCCGCCGCGCTGCCGCGCATTTCGGGCGCCCGCGAGGGGCGGCGCGGAGGAGAAGGAGGAGGAGGAGGAGGAGGAGGAGGAGGAGGAGGAGGAGGAGGCAGAGGGGGGGGAGCCTGTGGGGGTGGTCTGGCTGCGGCGCCCCGCGCGTGGCAGCTGGGCCGCCGCGACTGCGTCCTCTGGCGGCGGCGCACAGAGAGGAGGTACAGTCGGCCTTGATTGAAGGGGCCCCAGGACTTAGTGGGCCCTGGAAACGACAGGGCCGTTTTTTTACCGGACCGTTTTGCCGTTTTTTTACCCACCGGTTCCGTCGCTGTTTTTTGACAAATTTTAGCTCCGGTTCCAATCCTGGAGCCGTTGTTTTGCTGTTCCGGTCGCCGCTTTTTTGCCGTATCAATTTTCAAGGGGCATTTTTTTGGAAGCCCCATGACACACAAAATAATACACACAATTAAGGATTCCCAATATTTTCCCATATTTTCTGGTTTTTGTCTCCCCCCCCCACTTCCCATATTTTCCTATATTTTCGGGCGAATCGACTATTAATTCTGTCTGTGTGTTTCTTTCCTTCCTGATTGATTGGACGGGACACGCGAGAGGACACAAGACCCTTCCGAGGGCCGCATCGCCATGGGAGTGTGAGAAAGGCACGCGTCGCGAGGCACAGGACACACGGGTGCACCTGAGCTGGCAAGGTCGACCTACTAATCCGGGCCGACTGTAGGGTCAGGTCGGGCATAGCGCTTTCTGGAAGAGAAATGGAACAATCCAACAAAAACAGTCGGAAACAGCCAGACAATCGTCCCCGTATTGTTTTTTGATTATTTCTGCAAATTCCTCCTGTAATTAAAGGGACATGCCCAATTAAGGGGTCGGGGGAGGGGGGTAGGCTTCTTGGAAGCGCCTCCTCCTTCTTCGACGGCGCGGGCCTCTCATCCACAGGCAAGGTCCGCGCCGTCCAAGAAGCAGGGGCGCTTCTAAGAAGGCTTCCCCCCTCCCCCTCCACGCAAGCCCACCCCCCTTCGCATGGCCGACTCCGTTTGGTCGGGGCGGGGCTTGGAGCGTGCCAGCGGTCGGGTTCCGCGGAGAGCGCCAGCAGGGGCCCCCAAAAGATGTTGGCCTTCGGGAAGCCCTCTCGTCGTCGCCACAGTTGGACGCAGCTCGAAGAACGGTGCGTTCGCGCCCCCGCAGCCAGGACATCTCCTCCTCGCCCTCCACCAAGCGCGCCCCCTCCGTCCCGACCACTTGACTCCCGCGCGGCACGGCACGGCACGGCACCGGCACCGCCGACCCCCTTCCCCCGCACCGCAGCCAGCCCCACTCCTCCTCATTGCCCCCCGCAGCCAGCTCATCTCCTCCTCCTCGCCTCCACGCCAGCGCGCCCCCTCCGCATCGACTACTGTATTGTGGCACGGCGCGGCGCAGCACCGGCACCGCGCCGTCCTCCGTCTCCTTCTCTCCGTCGCCCTTTGCTTCCTCCTCATCCGGCCCCTAAGGATGATCCCCGTCTTTCGCCTGTCTACTTTCCTCGTCCTCCCTCCCCTTCTCCTCACCGTCCTCCTCGTCGTCGTCGTCGTCGTCCTCCTCCTCCTCAACCTCCTCCCCCGTCCTCAATGTGCAGGAGCCATGGCACGCGCATCACTTGTTTGACAGGAGTGATGGGGATGATGGGGGTGCCTTGGCACGCGCGCCGCACCACGCGGGCATCGCGCATCTGGCTGGGGTCTGCGTTGGTCCTCGATCATGGTCGATGGCGGCCGACGGCAGCCCTTCGGGGAGGACGATTGAAAATTGGAAAACACCTTCTTCCCTACCCGACAGGCGACAAATCCAGGACACTGCCACCACCCTCACCATCCGTCGCAAAAGAAATGAAACATGCCTGCTGCACCAAGCATCTGAATCATGCGCGGACGCCCGCGATCACTTGGCATGGTTTTTGACAGGGATACTGGGGGAGTGTGCATCTTGCCTGCTGTGTACATTGCCAACACCACGCCCCCATAATCCTTGGCAACAGCAGTAAAAAATAGGGATCGCGCGCGGATGCCCAGCGATGACAGGGACGGCAGGGGAGTTGGCATATCACCTGCTGTGTGCAATGCCAACACCATCGTCTTCCCTGGCACGCTACCATACACAGTACATTTTGCACCAAAATCACAATCATGCGCGGGCGCCCTTTGATCACTTTGCTCGGGTGTTTTGGCAGGGACGGCGGAAGGACAGGGCTGGTGGGGGGTCGCCATATTACCCGATGCGACGCATCTGCTGCGCGTGGCGCACCTGGGCGCACCACGCGGGCGTCGCGCAACTGGCTGGCGTCTGCGTCGGTTCCTGACGGTTGTCGATGGCGGCCCCTGTCTATGCTGAGACTCGGGTGCTACTTATGTAGCGGGAGGAGGAGGACGACGAAGGGAGGAAGAGGAGGAGGGGGAGGAGGAGGAGCGGGAGGAGGAGGGGGAGGAGGAGGAGGAGCAGGAGGAGAAGAAGGATACGGCACTGCCAAGGGAAGCGTCGCGCGGTGCACGAACGCCCACCTAGGGTGCCAAGCTGCTAGCAGCCTGGCAGGTCTGCGAAAAGGCTGGGACCCCACCTGAAGGATCACGAGGAGGAGGGCGGGTGGGAGTGAGCGAGACCACTTGCAATGCTCCCGCTGGGCACTTGGCCCCTCCTCCCACCCCTCCCGTGGGTCATGACGGGCCGCCACTCGAAGTGTCAGAAGACCGTTGTGGCCTAAGCCAGACCTGGGGACCCAACATGGTCTCCATGAGCGCAGAGGGTAACCCAAGATGTCTCGAACATGAACCCAACACACCTCTCAGAGGCACCAATACTGCACCCCCCACGGGGGCGGCTCAGCGATGCTACGGAGCGTCCCAAGGGAGCCTTCGAGGGGCCCTGAAGCAAACGACTCATGTGTGCATCCTCGCCTGTTCGCTTCCGATCGGCTTCCGAGACCTCACCCGCAAGGGTTCCAAGACGGTCCAAAAAGCGCCCCAGGAGGCGACCTCTCGGGCCTAGGCGGGGCAGGGCTAAGCCGCGCTGCCACCTTCGTTCAAGGCCTAGACCATCGAACCACCCTAGGTGCTTGAAACACTGCTGCATCTCTGGGGCATCCTTGTCAGATGTCTGGGCCAAGATGTCTCCAACATGGCTTTCGATAACTCAAGACGACCTCCAAGATGGCACCAGGTGGTCAAAGGCGCCACCATATTTCCCAGGCCCAAAGATTCGCGCAGGTCTTCATGGTTGACTCCTCTCGCCGTCGTCCTCCTCGTCCTCGTTCATGTCGGCGACGCCTCCTTCCGCCTCCGTCTTTCTCCTGCTCTTACTCCTCCTCCTCCTCCTCTTCCTCCTCCTCGCCCCACTTCCCTCCTCTCTACTCCCCTTCGTTCTCCTCCGCTTTCTCCTTCGCATCCTCCTCCTGCTAGACGACTTCTGACGGCCGACACACCTGTCTGCTCCAGAGGATGCTCCTGCTCGCCTGGCGATCGTTTCTGGATGAGCTGGTGGGAATGACAACCCTTTGTCCCCTCGCCCTGCAGAAGCCCTCTGGCAGTCCCAGGAAACAGCCCCTGCCTTCGGAGAGGACTCAGACGACTTCTCAGAAGGCCCGAGGCCCTCTGAGCCTTCTGAGAAGACCCACCCCCTCTGAATTCCCCCCTGGGCTCGCCGCCGACTTCCGCCCCCCCTCTCTTCCTCCCCCACACCCTGGAGAGCCCGGAATCGAATCGATAAGTCGGATCGGCGATCGAAATGATTCGGATCGGCGGAAATCGGCAGCCGAGTCGGGAAAAATCGAATCGGCAGAAATCGGCAGGCTGAGATGCCTCCAATAAGAAATCGGAACCCAAATCGGAATCCCAAGTCGGATCGAATCGGAATCGGAAACCATCGAAATCGAATCGAATCGAATCGGAGGAATCGAAACGAGCCCTGCACACCCCGATCTCCGACGCCGCCGTTCGCCGCTGCCCCCGGGAGTCCTGTATCGTGAGATCGCCCGCCCAGGCCCGCGCAGGCGCTGGCCCGCCAGCGGCGTCCTCTGGGCGGCCCACGGACAGGGGGGGGCGGGGAGGAGGTGGGAGAGGCTCCTTGTTCAGCGGCGGGCCTAGGAGGAAGGAGAAATAAAACTGGCGTTCTCAGAAAGCGGCGGGGCTCCTCAAAAGCCCTCCGGTATTCCGAGAAGCCGCCCCTGTTTTCGAAGCAAGCCTAGACGACGAATCAGAAGACCGGTCCGAACCTTCTGAGAAGGCCCGTCTCCTCTGCAGTCCCCCCCCGGGAGCGCCGCCGACTCATCCTATGCTGTGAATCTAGTGTCTTTTGCTGTTTGGCAGCATCCCCCTCCTCCAGCCAACTGTGGAAGTCTCCGTACTGGGGCCTCGTGCGCAGTGGGTGTTCGAAGGATGGTTGCCTGTTTGGCACCGGCGGAGCCACAATGCTCTGTCGCCATCCATTGGTCGCCGCTGATTTGATGCACATCGACGCTTTGACCATTCAAAACTCACCGCCGTCACCTCCATCTCCCTCCATCCAATGCGCTGCACAGGGGCATTGCAAATCAGCTGCGCTGATGAAGCATGTGAAACGAATGACATACACGGCCTGAAACTAAACGCGACAACAACGGGACAATAACTGGACAAACCCCAAACAACAATGGACAACCGCGGAACAATTACGAGACATCCGCTGGACAACCGCAGGTCAATCATGCGACAACCACGGTGCAACCATGAAACAACCACGTGACAAATACAGGAGAACCACGGTTCAACCAAGAGACAATCATGGGTCAACCGCTCGAGAACCCCGGGACAACCCCGGGACAACCACGGGACAACCACTGGACAACCGCGGGACAACCACGAGACAACCATAGGACAAGCACGGGACAACCATACAAGACAAACACAGGACACCCACACGACGAACATCGGGACAACGGGACAACCATGGGACAATCACATGAGAAACATGAAGACAGCCACGGGACTTCCATGGGACAACCATGGACGAACCACAACCGCCAAAATATCTCCCGATATCTTTGTCAACTAACTCTCTATCGGTCTCACTATCTATCTACGGGCGGGACAACCGCAAGACAACGGCGGGCCAACCACAAGACAACCACAGGACAAGACAACCACGGGACAACCACAGGACAACCAGGGCTTATCAGTGTCCCAACTCGCGCCTATTAACACCTGGTAGCGCTCATCAGCGTATGGCAACGCCTAACAGCACCTACTAACGCTGAACTGCGACCAAGAACACACGATAACGAGCGTCAGCAGCCAGGGGGGTTAATAACTCATGCTCCAATGCTTCTCACGCATGACAGACCCAATGGCGACGTTACGGTCCATATATCGAACAACCTCATTATAGCTCGACTGGAATGAACACCCATCTGCAGACCAGGCAAATGCAAGATAACCACAAGACAACCGCGGAAACACCATCGAGACAACCGCGGGACAACCAAAACAAATAACCACAGGACAAAAGCGGGACAACCACAGAACACCCACGAGACAGCCACGGGTCAACCACAGAACAACCGCGGGACATCCACTGGACAACCATAGCACAACTGTCAGGACAACCACAAAACACCCGTGACATAACCCTCGAGACAAGCGCGGGACAGCCACAGAACAATCACTGGACAATTTTTGGACAACCACAGGACTACCACACATCAGCCATAAGACAACCGAGGGGAAACCACCTAACAAACGCGGGACAAACCTCAAGCACGCCCAGGCCGCTGGGGGGATGAAATCACCTGTCCTCGCCTGGGCCTACCTAAACCTTGCCTCGCCCGCTTGCGCGTCATCCACGACACGGATCGAAACCGACATCGATTTCTTCTTGTGCGATTCCGTTTCATTTGGGTCCCACCCCTTTTCCAACCTGCATGTGCGCATGCACACGCGCATACACATACATGCGCACATACATTCTGAGACCGGCACAAGGCCCCATGGAGGTTTGAGGGGGTGACACTAAATGGCGTGGCAAGCATCGAGGTAACCGTGTCCATCCATCGGGCAATATCTACCGGTGCTATCGACCCATCGGCATTACGGTATAAATGACGGTATGTACAGGAGACGATCGATGTATCGCCAAATGCATATATATATATATATGTACACACACTTGCCATGCACATCTGTACCGACATGTGTGGATACCGATCGACCTAGCGGACATCGACCGATGAAACTATAGAGATATTCATTCATAGAACCTAGACCCTGACCACAATGTCACGATATTTGTCGATACATCGATCCCCCAACCTCACTGTTCCTCGCCCGGTACCACGATCAACCAAACAACAAATCAACCATCTGCAAGAAAGAGACAACCATTGGGACAAGCATGGGAACAACCATCGGGACATTCATCGAAACAACCATCAGAACAACCATCGGGACAACCTCTAACACTAGACGTTCCTATGGATCTGGATATGTACCGTTACATGTGTGTATACACATATGTATATATATATATATATATATATATGCTTGGCGGATTCCTGGGCGCCAGCCTTACATATTCACAGCACTTTTGCTCCAGACCGACCATGCTGACAATCTGTGTGATTGCGGCCCAGAGCCGCTCGCATCTAGATGCCACAGCCTCGCAAGGGTTTCCACCGCGAGGCAATCACAACTCAGTGCAAGTGTAGAAAGGCTCTAACAGCAGGGTGGGACAAAGGGGACCGAGGGAGGGAAGCTTGAGCATTGATGCAACAACGGTCGCAACGGCGCCCTCTCATCCTGACTCGCAGAGAACACCAGGCACGCCAGAGCAATCTATGCTTGGCGGATTCCTGGGCGCCAGCCTTACAGATTCACAGCACTTTTGCTCCAGACCGACCATGCTGACAATCTGTGTGATTGCGGCCCAGAGCCGCTCGCATCTAGATGCCACGGCCTCGCAAGGGTTTCCACCGCGAGGCAATCACAACTCCGAACCAGAAAGCAAACACTGAAACTTTGCGAAACTCTCACACTGGCCGTCAGGCCACATATCTAGTTAAAGTACAGAAAGCTTTATTCCGCAACGCTTGTTTGTAGGCTCTACTAAGCTCCACGCAGAGCCCTCTGGGATGCGGCTCGGCGATGTGGGTGAGAAATCGCCCAGAACTGTCTTTTCCTTCAAGCACCCCATGCGGGCACTTCGAAAAACTGCAAACGCCGCGGCCTTGGCATCGGGCCCCTTTGAGCCCGGCAAGGTCGAGATGACAAAACCGAAGGCGGGTTCGTTTACGCCACGGGGTTCCGAAAGCGCAAAAATCTACATCTAGATCGTGCACGTTACTGGGACGGGCGAGCGCTTGGGCCCCAGGGAGACTCCAAAGCCAAGAGGTCGAAGGATTCTCGATAACTACAGGGACTCTAAGGGATCTGCACAGGGAAAAAAGGCCAAAGCTGAAGCGGGCTAGACGGTTACCACGGGCAACCTTCAGACAGTCGGCGGGATTCAGGTGAGGGAGTCCGAGGGGGTGCTCAGCGTCTCGAAGCGGCGGAGGTCCATTAGGCCGATTACGAGCCCGCGACATTGACTGACACGGAGTAGCTATCCACACACCTAGGAGCATCTTGCTTCGCACCCATCCCCTGATCAACTTCTGAATTTTGCTAGACAAAACATCGGCAGCAGCGTCATGAACAATGTCCAGTTCGAAGCAGGCGAGACCCTTCAGGACTAACCGAAACGATCGAGAGAGGTTGCCGCTTCCACCGAAAACTTCCAACATTATTTGCTGTCCAGATTCGTTCACAAATCCAGCTAGGTCGCGCAGAGGACGGCGCCAATCGTATCGAGGCTTCGCTTCGCGGTGCCCTGAATGTGGTGTGGGAGCATGTTCAACTGTTCTTGAATCCGTCCTCCCTTGGCGTACCGCCTCACGGCCTGATCTGTGGCCCATCGACCTCTCTTTTTCACCTCGTCTTGGGTGTGGGCCCGCGCCAGCAGCTCGTGGCTCGCTCCTCCGTGCCTGAGCTGGTGAAGGGTCAGCGGCAGCAACGGCTGAAGACCACTGTCCCTGGCCGCGGCGGCAAACTTGGCGTTCCACTCGCTGTGCGACACGGGAAAGAGAGGGCTGTTCCTGGGACGCTCGCGCAGCAGCTTTTGGAATAGGCCTGGTAACCAAAGGAAGGCGGGGCTGTCTATCAGCAGCGAGTCGTCGTACACCCCAGTCTTGCTTGCTACTCCGCCTTCCCTTGGATGAAGCGTCACGCCCCAGGTCCCGCGCGGGCCTCCGTGCAGCACTGACGGCGGCACCAGGCCGTTGGTGGTCAGGGGGAGCGCCTCCGACGGCCTCAGGTACAGGGCGAAGGCCACGGCCGTGAGTTCTGCAAGCACTCGTTGTCCCGCCTGGACTAACTGGCGGATGACAAGGCAGCAGGCGGCCCACGGCAGCGGAAGCCTCGACCGAGGCGGAGCCAGCTTGCGCCACCCCCGAGCAGCTCGGGTCGCACGCGGCAGGCTGCTGTACTTCAAGCCCAGGTGGCGCCCCGCGAAGGCCAGCGACGCGAAGAGCTTCCACGCGTCCGTGCTCTCGCCCCCCTCCAAGAATTGCTTGTGGAAGTAGATCACCAGGGTCTCGCCCAGTTGCTCCTCGGTCACCGTCTCCAGGCGCGAGTGCTCGGCCCAGAGGTAAAAGCTGTGAGCTCGCCTCTCGTAATCCCGGCGGGTGGCGGCGGACGCCGACTCCTGCTCCAGGAACGAGTGGCTCTCTCCGGGCTTCGGAACGATGTCCCGGCTGTAGCCCCGGCGGCGCTGCAGGCGCCTGGCAGCTCGGCGGTCGCTCTCCACGTGAGCTCGGACAGCAAGGCTCGTCATAGAGGCTGAGGCCGGGCGGCGGCGAGACGAAGCCACGGTCCCGTTGGTCCTCGGCCCCCCCCCGACCTCTCGGCAAGCCGCCCGTCACCTGAGCAAGGGCTGCTGCGTCTGGCATCCCCAGCGGCCGCTCGATCAGCTTCAGCTGTAAGGCCAGGCCGATTCCGCGAAGCTG